AGCTGCATAATGAATCTTGTATCCTGAAAAGACTCACAGCAGACATCTGCTGAGTCACAACAGGTTGTAAGAGTCTTTTGTTTTGCAATCTTGTTGGAGACTGGTATTTATGTTATTTCTGGGCTCGAAGCCAGTTTGAACTGAAAACTGATAAAGACTTCCTTTTAAGTTGCCTGCCTGCGTTTGTTAACGAGCCGTGAAGTGGGGGACAGAACAGGTGGCTATGCCTAGCCCCCTCCACTAGGGCTTATTTTTTGGGTAGGGCTTATATTAGGCGCACATGTTAAACAAAAACAACACCAGGCTGGGGCTTATTTTCAGGGTAGGTCATATTTTGGTGGGAAACGTGGTAGTTCTGTTACAAAAGTATTCCTTTTAACTCAACTGCTTCTTTTAAATGCCTCTTTTAATGCCTAGAACAGCCTTGTAAATTTTTATTTTACTCCGAGTGGAGTTCAATGAGCACTCTATTACATAAAAATGTTCATTGGATCATACTGACTACAATATTTTGGTGAGATTTGCTCCATAGTATGCAAAACAGAACCAGCTTCATAACCACATTTGAAGTCCTACTCTTAGTCTGATGCTCTGAGCACTATAGAAATGTAGTTTGTGTCTTTTAAATAAAATATTATAGACAGTTACAGTTGCCATGTTAGATAAGGGAGCATATAGTGCACTCTATAACCTTTACCCTTAAGTAAAAGTAAAGGTAAAAGATGACCCAGGGTGTGGCATGAAGGCAACACAGCTAGAGAACCGGTATGAGTCCCTTTATTGGCACCAACTTTGCCCCCAATGTCCCTTTTACTCTCTGGCCTGGAGAGAAGCTCTTCCACAAACCTGCAGGTACTCCAGTCCAAATGCTGTAAGCAGAATGACTACAATCAATTACTCCAGCAGAGCAAGATAATGAGTCCCAGAAGTGAAGAATAATTCCAGCAAGACAAGATAAGCACACAGAAGGACAGCAATAATTCAGTCAGGAGGAATGCCAGGAATGCAAGCCACAACTCTCAACATTAGATGATTTCAGCGTTTGTTCCCAACAAACGCCTCTCCCAACTGCCTCTCCTTTAAACTCCATTCCCAGGTGTGCCTTGTGAAGGGAATTGGGGCCCTTTACTTCCTCATAAGCCACGCAACCCATGTTGTTCTCTTCTGTGTTCTTCCCTGCGTTTCCTAGGATGAGGAAGGGGGGGGGGTTGGTCTTCATCTGAACCCCCTCTCCTTTGTTCTACCTCTCCCCTTGTCTGCCCAGCCTGACTTTGCCCTTCCCCAGTTTCCTCCACAGCCAACAGAGCCACTCTCCCACTCTGTCAGCTGTTCATCTTCCATCTAAGAGTCAGACTCCGACAGGGGCATGACACCCTGAGGATTTTACTCTGCTAGTCATTGCCAACAATAGGGGGTGGTGCTCATCTGTTTCAAGGCCATTGAGCCAGAAGTGTCCAAAGGCATTTCTGCAGTCATGTGGGTACTTACTTTATTCCTTCTATTTAGCCTTTTAGGTGCATCTAACTAAGGAAGAAATAAACAAAGTAGACAGTTGCATAGCTAATAGGCTTTATAGGTTTGGCTATTTATATTAGCTCTATGAATTTCATAGTTTTGTTAAAGATATTTACTTACATTCATACGAGTTAAGGTGAAAAACTTAAGGATGCTTATTACATTTTATTGCTTTTTTGTTTTCTTTTTACTTATGGTCACTGGCTGTAATAATGTATCTCTCTCTTTAATATGCAACTACATTGTGTGAAAAGATGGTTTAAACTCAANGGCTTTTTGCAGGACACAACCGTTATACTAAAGCTGGAGAAGCTCTTGTGTGTATTTCTTATCTGTGGAAGTCTGGGTTGCTGCCAAAGTCTTGTAGGTGTGTTAATTTACTGTGAATAAGTTGTCTGGCAGTAATCTTGTGTCGGCGTGACTCACCGTATGGAGGGTGGTCAGAACAGTTTATCTGGTTATGTTTCCTATCTGGTCTACCTGGAAAGGTGGACAAATATTTTTGGCCGATTTCCATCACAGTGTCTTAGCATAAGTTGGCAGGACAGGAAATCCAAGGATCAGGAGAGGAACTTTGGAGACAGGCATTGCTGCACAAAATGTGCAATTTTCTTAGATTCTTCTCAGTGGCTGAGACACTCCTGTCCACACCTGATTAGAAATAGCCAAGAAAACTGGCTTGGCAGATCACAGTAT